ACAGAAGCACCCTTAATAGATTTAGATTTTGTCACAAAGATTAAGGAACTGGAGCATGATGAAGCTTATAAGTACCTAGGAATTAGCGAATGAGATGGCATACGACATCCCCAAATGAAGGAAAAAAATAAGAAAAGAGTACTACAGGCGTGTACGTCTGGTACTAAATACTGAGCTAAACTCAAAAAACAGAATATCGGCCATAAACACATTGGCTGTCCCTGTGGTGCAATGCAGCTTTAATGTCCTTAACTGGACCATAGCTGAAATTAAGCGAATGGACGCCAAAACGAGAAAGCTTCTCACTTGCTATCGCATGCATCACCCCAAAGCTGATGTTGATCGTCTGTATGTGCCCAGATTCGAAGGAGGCAGAGGTTTAGTTCAACTAGAACTGCCCTACAAAACTACAACAATTGGCCTCCAAAGATACTTGGAAACTACAGAAGACTGGATGATGGTATGCGTCAAGGAACATGAAAGTAGTAAGCGTCTTTACTCCGTAATAAAAGAAGCCAACAAATTCAAAATGTAGTTTCAAATGGGCGTAGAGGTGCAACTACAGCACAATACACCGGCTGAAAATGCAAAATACTTAAAAAAGACAGCAAAGACGAATGCAACCGACCAGATACAGAAGCGATGGCAAGATAAACCGCTTCATGGCCAATACCCTGCCCGTACCAAACAAGCTGACGTAGACAAAACCCGTACCCATCAGTGGCTACGTAGTGCAGGGTTGAAAGCTGAAACTGAAGGTTTTATCCTTACTGCACAGGGCCAATGCTTGCTAACATCCAGAAGCGATTGATCATCTTCTATCAGGTTGCACGATATTGGCACCCACTGAATATAAAACCCGGCATGACAGAGTGGGCCAACATCTGAACTGGAATATCTGCAACTTCTACGGGAAGAAAACTGAAAGAAACTGGTATTAACACCAACCAGACCCGGTTACGGAGATAGGACCTGTTACAATTCTATGGGACTAGACATTACACACTGACAGAACAATCAAATCCAACCGCCCAGATATTTTTATTAAAGACCAAAAACAAAAACTCTACCGCCTTGTTGATATGGCAGTCCCTGCTGACTGTAATGTATCTTTGAAGATATTAAAAAAAACTGTCAAAATACAAGGACCTTGAAATAGAAATCTCGAAAATGTGGCATATGGGAACATCAACAATCCCTATTGTAGTTGGAGCCCTAGGACTGGTTGGAAAAGATTGCAGTAGACTAATTGAAGGGATTCTTGGAAGTCCATGCCTCAAGGAGATACAAAAATTGTTCTGACAAGTACAGCCCACACTTTACGAAGGGCTTTATCTATGTAATTTTATTTTTATTTTTATTTTTTTTTTTTTTTTTTTTGTCAGTGGAAAGTGTCATGTTGCCATTTCTAACCTTAGGTCCCTGGGCGTGACCCGGAAAGAAATGTGTAAACGCCAGAAATCAAAGAAAATAATAATAATAATAATAATAATAATAATAATAATAATAATAATAAACTGCATGAAATTGGTATGAACACCACCGAGCCCCGGTTACGGAGATAAGACCTGTAACAATTTTATGGGACCACACAATACACACAGACAGAACAATCAAGGCCAACCGCCCAGATATTGTTATTAGAGACCGCAAACAAAACCAAATGTGCCTCCTCATTGATATGACAATCACTGCAGACTGCAATGTATCTTTGAAGATCTTCAAAAAGCTATCAAAATACAAGAACTTTGAAATCGAAATCTCAAAAATGTGCACATGGGAAAATCAACAATCCCTCGGATTGGTTGGAAAAGATTCCAGTAGACTAATTGAAGGGATTCCTTGAAGCCCATGCCTTAATGAAATACAAAAAATTGTTCTTATGAGTACAGCCCACACCTTTACGAAGGGTTTTAGCTATGTAAAATATGTTTGTGTGTTTTTGTTTTTTTGTTTGTTTTTGGTTTTTGTTTTTTTAATTGGTCAGTGGGAAATGTCATGATACCATTTCTAACCTTAGATCTCTGGGCGGGACCCGGGAAGAAATGAGTACACACCAAAAATCAATGGAAATAAAATCGCCAGAGTACAGCCCACACCTTACGAAGGGCTTTATCTCCGTTAAATATTTTCTTTTCTTTTTTTTTTTCTTTGTGTGAGTTGAAAAGGTCATGATGCCATTTCTAACCTTGGGTCTCTGGGTGGGAACCGGAATGAAATGTGTACAAACCAGAAATCAAAGAAAATAATAATAATAATAATAATAATAATAATAATAATAATAATACCCTAATTATCATTAGGGTGTTTAGATGTTTGCATAAATAAGCTTTGGAGTAGTTCTATAAAAAATAAAATAAAATATTTTTTGTACACACCAATATTTTCAATTTAATCATTTTTAAGTTTAAATTTTAAAAAACTGAATTCTTAAACTAACATAAAATGTTTGTCCTAAATATTAGTAATATCACTGCTGGTGTGAATTTTATATATCATGCACCATCTTCTTTTAGCAAGCTTAGCTTAATTTGATACGAGGCTACCAATATGCACCAACATTACAGTAATAATGGTCAATCAAACTAGCATAATAGCAAGTATCCAATGCCGAAGCTCTTAGATATTGGTCCCTGTCGAGTCGATATGTTATTATTTTTTAAATGTTCCAAAAGATACTGACGACAATGAAGCAATAATTTACACTGCAAACGGACAGAAAGGTTTATAATTGCTTCTTCATCGAAAACGAAGCACAAGGTTCGAGTTTAACAACAATCCTCTCTTGTTACTGTTTCCATTAACTTCTTAACGCTGATGGATATTTTGATGTAGAGTCAATTGTTAATGGGCTTGGCCCGTTGACCAGTAGTCGTGAGTTCGACGTTCCGTGGCGTTTTCCATTGGAAACTATGCTACGCTTAATAAATTGCATCCGCTTAATTCAGTCACAAAATATATGCGTTCATAAAAATGGAGGCGAATAAAAGGAAATTCAATCGAGAAATATTCGAATTTATATCACACAAATGTTTATTCCGTAAAATCGAATCACTTAATAATAAATATAATTTTTATATAAAGGATTTTTCGCGAGAAGTAGATAGAAGCTGATTAGCTTTCCTCTTTCTTTTCTTCTGTGCGAATTATCTTTGAAATACAAATAGTTGCATACAAATATCAAAAAAACTTGAAAAGGTATTTACCTCCATATTAGAATAAAATAATGTGATTATTTTTTTTATTATTAAATTTAGGAGACTAGTTTCAAAATGAAAAAAATATCAAGCTATTGTTTCTAAGCACAAATAATGGTGGGTGTTGAGTTTATAATAATAATTGTTGCATTTTAATTCCGCTTCTTATTTTTCTTCCCCCGAATTCTACAGACATAGGAAAGCCATCAAAGTAATCTTATCTTCTAGACGTTGTGGAGCTCTTTCTATCGGAAAGGAAAGAAGAAAACAAGAAAGAAAATATATTTACGTCATTAATCAGAGATTAGGAATTACTTAGGAACCAACATCACGTGAAGTAAGGGAGGATTGACGTCATATTCCGGTGCAAACAGATCTAAAAAGCGTTTCTCTTCGAAGCAGTTTATGGGCAACACTTAAAATTCTTGTTTTGAACCAAAGATTCTTTGTATAACCTATGCCATTTCGTTTCCAGCACATCCAACAATAAGCTGCATATGTAAAATCTCTGATCCACTTTCAATAGTTGCATGTTTGTGGCGTTTTATCGTTTCCTACTGCGCATGCGCTAAAGACAAATCTTTTTGTATAACGGATAAAAAGGGAAGTTTTTTATGTAGCAGATAAATAAACAAAGCTTCTCATATAGTTGATAAAGAAAACAAAGGCTTTTTCTTTTCTTTTCAATGAGTTAAGTGGAAAAAATAATATATTTTTTCGTCTTTATTGACCAAAAGGAAAAGTCCATTGGTTGGTACTGGTCCATTTTTACTAATCGTCCTTGGCACAGGATGAAATTATGTTTTTTTTTTATTTACTAATGTTTATTCGACAATGCTCAACACCCACTCAAGGTAGAGGTTTACTGAATGAGATATGTGATATGAATGAGATATGTGATATGAATGAGGTATTTGATATGAATTAGGAAGTCTGAAGGGTAGATTATGAGGGTATAACCGATATATAATGACCCTTAATTTAAAAAGGTTACGATGTACTTTTCTGGGAAACATTCACCTGTTCCACAAAGCAACAGTTATTGGAAAAAAAGCTGCCTGAATGGAACGGGGTGGGGACGAGGTTGCTTCGATTCTATGGATATAACATGGCGTGTCTTAATTCACTACACTAGTAAATATTCTAAGAGACTGACTTATTAAACGCCGCACTATAGTAGGCGCCCTACATCAATGGTGAGCGGGTGATCTTTACGAAATATCTACCTATTCAGTTAATTATAGTTGCATGAATATAAACAGTTTAATGATACCAATATTTGATTTTCGCTACTATTAATAAAGCTAATAATATCTGAGGGTTGAACGAAAACATGTTGACTCATGATTAAATATGGAACCTTTTAACTTTGAAGATATGTGCTAAATTAGTCCAGATAATGTACAAAATGCATGCCAAATGTCAGACGTTACGACTTGAACTTACAATAACTTTTCCGGTTAAGACTAGACTCCTGTTGCTTGCATTATGGCAGCAGTGGAGATCAAAATATTTGCATTGGCAGAAGAAAATAGCTAATTAATCATTTTCCAAGCCGAGTGTCTCCAAACTACGGCCTGCGGGCCACATCCGGCTCGCCACAATATTTCATCCGGTTAGAAGCAACTGGAAATACTGTAATGAAAAGCCTGCCTTTCTAACTTGTAGTTAAATAATGATTTTGTCAGTGCATTTACTAATGTTATATTACGCATGATATATAATTTCACACTTGATACTAAAATATACTTTATACTGAAATATACGATGTGGCTCTGTTGTTGAAATATTTAAAGATTGCTGCTTGCGGCCATATCACGTTGAAACTCCAGTTCTCGTGTAATCACCGAAGTCACGGAAGGTCGAGCCTGGTCAGTATCTAGATGGGTGACCGCTTGGGAATATCAGCTTCTATAAGCTTGTATGTATGCGCGATGTAATGAATAACGGCCCGTCATAATAACCTACGCGCAAATACCTTGAGAAAGGTATGAATTCACTTCTTCTCCCTCAGCTATGGTTTAACTAGTAAGACTTATATCAGTAAATCGTTATTATCTCAAAAGCGTTCTTACAATCTAAAAATATTTTCTGGTTTTAAATAACCTATAAAAAGGTTGATAAGCCGTGAAACACAAATCAATAAATCAATCGATCTAGGCAATGTGAAAACAGTTTCGTCCATAATATTTTTTAATGTTTAAAGTCAAAATTTTAAACCCAAGAACATTGTTTACTTTTAATAAATCCTTTGTGTTACTCGTATTATAATTTTGCAGGTCAAATGTCATGATAAAAAGCAATCATCATCATCAGTTCCATGGCCGGGATGTTCATAGAGTTGCTGCGCAGATGAGTATCTCACTAATTCCCTCCACATATCTAGATCGAAATCCAGATAAGCATGCATTTATGAGTAGCGAGTCTTGAGCACGCAGACCTGTCAGAGCCCATCACTCTCCAACTAATATCCTTCAACTTGAAGGCTCGATATGGTCACGGATACGTGGCCGCTGATTCCATCAGGGGAACTCTCCGTCTTAGCAGTCTAGAAAGACACCCCAACCCTGCCTATTAGTTCCCTATCATTGCTGTAGCACTGGCTGCTATGAAGCTCATTCTATAACGAGTGTGTGTCTAGCTATGACCATCACCAGAATGGTGAGGGAACTTGTTCAGTCGCCGATGACCCGAACACGCGGCACACGTAGTAATGGGAAACATGATACCAGGAGCACTCGTCGAGTGACCTGACATTATAAAACAAAGAACAAAAATTTAAGAAAAATCTCTTATGACATTAACAATAAAACTTACTTCATATCAATTTCAATATCACTTTTTTCTTTTAAAAGCGTTATTAATTAATTTAATATATATATGTGTGTGTGTGTGTGTGTGTGTGTGTGTGTGTGTGTGTGTGTGTGTGTGTGTGTGTGTGTGTGTTTTGAACAATAAAAATATTTTAAAAGTTAAAATTGTCAGACACACTGGGTTGTATATTAGTATTTTTTGTTTTATTATTTCAATCAGTTTCCTCGACTAGTTTCGGCCAGCATGGCCATCATCAGGAGAAAAATGTCCCTGCTTGTTATTAGCAGCAATCTACAGGAGCAAATGACTGTTCTCTGAAGTTATATGTAGCTTTCCTTTGTTTTTATCCTTGTCGGCCTTTTTCAAGTTGTTTTTAAAATGGAGCCTGGGAGATTCCTTAGTCTCAGAATTCCCACCTTGTTCATCTTGACAGTTTTATTGGTTGCTGGGAAGTGGGTATGAGTGTTAAGTGTATGTTATTTTTTAGTTTTGGAGGAGTATGTGTGATGTGTGTGTGTATATATATATATTTCTATGAGTATGTGTATATCTGTGATATACACACACTTTTCATCCATAAATAGAGCACAACTTAAGAGTATATATATATATATATATATATATATATATCCAGTGACAATAATGCTCAAGATGAATGGTGATAGCATCAATCAGAGTTTTTATTATTCCAGTGTAGTCCTTCTCTCATATTGGTTGCTAACCAAGGCTGAAGATACTAGTTTTCTCTACTTTTTAACCGAAATTGTATGTAACGAATACAAGTGTGTTTCGAACTCAGCTTGTTGATTACACTTTCCGAGCCACTACCAATTACACCACCACGACCACCACCAGCAGCAGCAGCAGCAGCAGCTCATATATACGTAATTATATACGGGCTCCTCGGAGTGGTGTAATGGTTAGCGAGCTGGTCTTGCTAAAACTGTTACAACTGAATAGTGAGTTCGATCCTCACTGGGAGGATACTTTTGGCCATGTGCCAGATCTAAGCCTCGCTTAGAAAATCAATATACGTAATTATATCTCTGTTTGTGTGTATGTGTGCGCGTACGTTCATGGTTTATAAATCCGATGTTTATCTCGTTACTTTTTAAAGCATTTATGACAATGATTCTCAAACTCAGATCGCGTTCGTCCCATTTTAGAATTATCATTTAATAGTGTTTTTACTCATATTCTTATGACCTATATATGACTGAAATTTCACTTCAATTCTTGCCTTCGTCAAAATTCTTCCACGGGGAGCCAAGTGGCTCCGATTTGAGAATTTCTGATATACAAACTTCACTTAATCATTTTCTCTCAGTGTCGACTTTTATTTTTTTTTTAAATATTCTGAAATTCTATTTCACCTTCTTTTATTAATGTACCATGTTCACTGTCATATAATTTAAGAGGATTTCTTTTCTTCTTTCATAAATATGCCAAATTCTCCCAAGAAAATTTGATCAAGATATGATTCTACTCTCAAGTATGTTCAATGAAAATCCCAAGAACATTATGAAAGAAGGAAAGAAGAAAAAATGGCAATATTTTCAAATTCACAAATCGATCTGCATTATAACAAAAATGTTCAAGACGAAATTTCAGTTACAGCTTCTCCAGGTTTAATTCACTGCGTTGATATTCAATATGGCCGGCCATAATTTTTCGAAATTACCTTTCCAATTGTATTCGCGAAGTCTGGCTTTTGGAAGAGCTAACAAAACGAAGAATGCGTTCAATAATGCCGGATGAATCATTTGTACGATTCGAACATGTATATTCCATGAAAATCGATTTCCGTTTCCAGAACAAATTACAAAATATAAGTAATTTATTTATCACATTTGAACGCGCCCGTATGCTGTCACACCTGACTGCAAGTAGAAGGTAGAAAAAGCGATAACCTCATGCAAAAAAAATTAATAAATAATTAAAGATTCCTTGCTTAGTCAAGCACAAGGTCACAAATATTGAGCACTCCGAAAGGATTGAAGTAATCAGACGATCGAACTGGCCTGCGAGACGAGTTTGTTTTTTAATAGGCGCTGACATATTTACAAAGCTTAGTTCAGAACGGAACAATGTCAAACGAGTGCAGAAAGATCGTGTTGCGCCAATTCTAACATCTATGAAAAGCAGCATCTAACATTTTGAATTTTCTACATTCTTGGGCACCAACCGTTAGCACAAGTAAGTAACTCTCAGAACTATGACGTAAAATTCTGTTGGTAAATGAACCAGTGTATGGCACAAGATCAAGAGGAGAAAATAGTCATAAAAAGATTGTGCTGCGATAATTTTACATGGAACGAGGGTTTGCATATTTGTTTTCACTCACTGTAAGAAATACAGAAATATCGCTTATACAAAGAAGTCCGCATGATTATTACTAATAAATGTTTATATATATATATATATATATATATATACAGTTATATGGATATGTGTTTGTGACCCTGGGTTTCACGTTTTTGCGCTCATCAGACAAATCGGTTTATTTTTTTAAAATTGGATCTAATCAAACTTAAAATAGTACAGTTTGTCTGATGATCACAAACTCATATCCAAACAACTGAATATGTTAGCTATATCACTGATATTGAGAGCTTTCCACCATGTACTGCGCATATAAAATAATACATACATATATTGAGACCCTATACCAAAACATCGTTAAACTCCTGGATGAACAATTAATAGAAACTACACCAGAATTTAAAGACTTACTTAAGGCCGAGGCATTCAAGGATCGGCATGATAAAAGCACAAACTCTTCAAAAATACTTTCTAAACAACTGAAAATTGCAACACACGAACTACGCAACCACCCTGACATTATCGTAAAAAAAGCTGATAAGACCAACATTTTTGTCATCCTAAACAAATTGGATTACAACAAGAAACTTGACCACATACTCCATGATCACATAAAGTTTAAAAAACTTAACAAGAACCCGACCAACCAACTAAAATCAAAGCTTAATAAACTTATTAATGCTAATATATATATATATATATATATATATAAAGAAATATAGTTTTAAGGTGTGCTATATTTATGGGATAAAAGACTCAATATCAGAGATAGAGTGTATGTAAATATAAATATAAAAGTGAACACTGAAGTCAACACTCAGAGGCGACAGGCTGTTTCATGCTGGACAGGAAATTTCCAGCATTCGCGGCCTGTCGATGAAACAGCCTGTCGCCTCTGAGTGTTGACTGCAATATTCACTTATATATATGTGTGTGTGTGTGTGTGTGTGTGTGTGTGTGTGTGCTTATGAGAGAGCGGCAGTACCTTCTCATAAAATCGAAAGTGTAATAATAAATAAGAAAATATAAAAAGAATAAAATGCAATTCTAACCATTTTCCTCGAAGAGCCCAATTTATTATCAGTTGTTTATTAATACCGGTTATTTATCTTCTTTGCACACAAGATGTCGAAAGCAATTCTCTCACTTTGGATTGAATTTAATTTATACAGTGAATTTAAAATATTCATTTTTCCTTTCAATAAGATTTCGGCAGAAATAAGCCACTGCTCTTTTCATTATTTTAGATTTTCTCTATTGCAGTATTGCTGAGTTGGGTTAAAAGTAGCAAATGAACTCCGTTTTAAAAGCCAATGTCCCTTGAATCAGTAAATCCAATTTAGTCCAACCTATTTTAAAAGTAATCTAAAATACTACAAGTAGGAAATTCAAAATGTAGTAGCTCCGTACGCTTTTCAGAAGTAATGTAACAATGGTAAACTTGCCTACAAAAATAAAGAAATATATGGAATCACCAGGAGCAAAAAAGAAAACGAGAACTGTTCATATCGCGAAGGTTTACAAGATCTGAAAATATTCTCTAGTAAAGAGGGGTCTCTCTGAAAGCTGACTGATGTCGAGAAATGCATTATTATCAACACTAAATGCTGTGCTTGACGGTTAAGCCGAGATAATTGGTTTGAAAAGGAGGACTATCTCTTCCTATGAGTTGAAATGACTCGATAATAGCGAGGTATTCCTCACTTTTAGGAATTGTTATTGCCTTAGAAGACATTTTTGTTTGTAGCAACGGAGGTCCATCGATTGACAA